TCCTCCCTGGTGATGGCCCCTCCCTTCCATTGGGTGTGCATCTCCCTTTTAGTTAGAAGACATTCCCGGATGCTTTTGGTGAGCCATGGGGGCTTTTGCACCCTCCTGCCCCCTTTGATACGTGTTGGGATTACCTCGCTTTGGGCTTGGAGGATCGTCTCCTTAAGGAGCGACCACTCTTCTTGGACACCCGACTCCCCCCCCCTCCGGGACCTCAGTGCTTCCCCGACTATTCTCCTTAGCTCATTGAAGTCCGCCCTCCTGAAATCTAGGGCTGCTGCCTTGCTGCAGGCCTTTGCCACCTTGCACTGGATGGTGAATTCCAGCAGGCGATGACCACTGTCGCCCAGGTGGTCGAGCACCTGCAGCCCCCTCACCAGGTCATCACCCGTGGCTAGCACCAGGTCCAACAGGCACTGCTCTAATTAAAGTGCCCAGAGTATTATGTATATCAGTGTCCCCGCACTGAAAAATTGCAGTGGGGGAACTTTAAATAAAGCTTGTTGAATGAGCTTTAGATAAAGCACCCTTGCCATCATTTGTCAATGCGGGATGCTGATCCACATGATACTGGAGTCTGCTAGACTGTGGGAATTACCGTGCTCCAGCAGACTCAATTAATTGAGTCTAATCCAACATGCTGTAATTGCAGAGCATCGGAGCATCCTCACTGCATGTGTATAGGTGCCCATTCTTTCTTATAACACCCTCTTTGTGGCCTGCTGAAATCAGTTAGAACTTGGCTTATAGATAACTTTTGGGCTTTTATATAAATTTTGGGCATGGGCTTTAGATAAATTTTGCCTGAGTTATTTTTTGTGTAACTACATTAAAAGTATATTATGCTGGAGAATCTGCATATTATGCTATGCTTATCCCTAATTTTTACTTCAGGACAGAGCGCCTGGCCAAAGACATCACCCAGGACATTGGAGACAATGACATCGTGGTTCTTTGTGTCCTTAAAGGTGGTTACAAGTTCTGTGCTGACCTTGTAGAGCACATTAAGAATCTCAGTAGAAATTCAGAACGGTTCATCTCCATGAAAGTTGATTTTGTTAGACTGAAGAGTTACCATGTAAGTCAACAATTCAGTTATATATATGTTTTATTAAGTAGTGGTTTGATTCTAGAAATAAAGGATTGGTTTGTAGATGGGAAAACTTTAAAAAAACACATTTTATGTAATGCATCTACAAAAGGTATCAATCTAAAAATATTTTTCTTTTACTTCCAAAGTATTTTATCTTTTCCCAAATAACGTAAGAAAGATGTGATCATAGTCAATTCTGGCATTTATACACATACCTTTGTCTGCTCTGACATGCCAGAAATCCAGTACATCGGAACAGACTCTATTAATCGAGTCTGTGAAGCACGTGAGCTAGCATGCAGCTGTGCGTTGCATGCATTTTTATAAACGGCAAAATGCACATCAGAGTGCAGAAAATGGTGGTAGTGCACTTTTGAACTAAAATACCTTAGATGTGTTTTAGTTCAAAAATGTGCCACCACCATTTTCTCAGCACTGATGCACATTTCGCCGTTTATACAAACGCATGCGCCAGAGCTCCGGGCACTTTTAAAAGTGCTTGGCATTGCAGTGCATGCTTTTGTACAAATTCCCTTCTTTCTACTCTGATAAATATGAAACAACCTAAAGATTTTTTTTTACTATCTTTGTGTATATAAGTAGAAAATGAACTGAGTGTTGGGGTTTTATAATCTATCAATGTATTGTGTTGATTTTCTAAAAAATGTGAACTGTTCTGTGAAGCTTATCATTTTTTCATTTCTCACCTGCTCTGATAATTGCATTGTTAAACTGAAAGATAACAAATCTGTTGCTTATTGTGAATCTTTTTCAAATGTTGTCTTTAATTGAAGCCCAGAAAAATTACTGGAATGTTTTATTCAATGGGTCATCAAAAATATATGGCAAACCATACCATTACATGATGTTATTACTTTGCAATAAAATTAAATAAGATGCTGAACCACATCCAGCCTTCATACAGGAGGCCAGAGCCACCGTGAACTGGCCTATGTGTTACGTAATAGTGGTCCATTGATTTCAGAGTGGTAATGCTAGTGAGATGAGCTATTTGGTGCCATCTCTTTGTAGGTCATGGTAACAGTTTTCCTTTTCCTGGGTCACATACTTGAATTCCGTGTTACATGTTGTGGTTCATGATGGACTAAGTCTTAGAAATACTATGGTCTATATAATGGCCAGGGCAACATACTGAAGAATGAGTGAACAGGGAGTTAGAATGCTTTTGCCTCCAACTGAAGTATGGCAATAAAGCTACTCTGGGACCATTAATGCAGCATCAAGGTTTTGGTAACTTCCATAGCACTTGTGCCTTCATTCCATGGGGAACAGTTGGTGGAGCTGCATTGCTTCAGATCCATTGGCATCATCCTTGTTCCTGACCTTCCAAATGCAGCATGCATTCTTGCTGCAGTAGAGTACTGATTCCACATGTGTGAAAACCTTTGCCATCAGAGTTTTGCCCAAGGACTTGGTACTGAGAACTGATTTGGGATATAAAGCACATGTACTGTACAAAGATTTCACCATTGCATAAAGTCTAAGAATTAGTGAATAGAAGTGGGGAAAGAGATGCTTGTCTGATGTACAAGCACCTAGAAAGTAGAAGTGAAATTTCAAGATCATTATTTACTTATATTACGGAAATATTAGATTGTTTAAATTAGTTGTTGCTTTAGAGATGCACTTGCTTGTGCATGTGCCTTTTTGTTGCCCTTCATCTAGGAGAAAGGTTTCTCAGTCCTTTGCAGTTATCCTCTGTCTTCTGAGACAAGCTAGATCTGATTAGCAGTGTGAACCAGGAACCATTGAAGGATAGTAAAGGCAAAAACATCACTGCAAAGGTAAAAAGTACAGCATCACCACATAATGGTTCAGGACAGGAAGTAAAAAATACATTATCTAGTTCATACTGCAGTGGAAATTTTGGTAGAAGAATGTAATTATTGAATTTGAAATTTGGCCAGACCACCAGGGTTAATATCCTTGGTTTGGGGGTGTGGGTGAGAATATCAGTGCTGTATATTTAGTGTCTTTTGAATGTGAAGAACCTTGGTTTCACACCTCAGCTGGAAGAAGACACCCTCTTACACTAGTGCCAACACCATTCTTAGATAATAAATTATTTGATTGTAAATGCTTCAACACAAGGGTAATGTTTTTGGACTGTGTTTAATACTGTCTTTATACAACAATAATAATGTTAGAGCACCGGTTTAGTGATTCATAGGCAAGAATGCCATATACTGAATCTCCAGTACCATTTCCTATGGTCCATTTGGGTTTCTGGTTATCATCTGGAAGTTTTCCAGCCAGTTACAAGCCTAATTGGGTCCTATAAAATATGAGATCACAGCCTTGTAAGATTCAGCAATGATCAAAATGTTTAAGTGAGAAACTAGCCCTTAAAAGCTGAATGATCCAGTCCCCTGCCTTTCCAGTCACGGCTGGAGCTCTCAAATCCCAAATCAGTGAAAAGTTACCTACTTCTATATAGCAGTATCTCTTTTCTCCAACTGTTTATTCCTCACCAGAATTAATTAATTCCTTCTTTAGAGGTAAGAATTCTATATGTTAGAGAGAAAAATAATGCTTACATTGAAATAAAATATAATAAAGATGTCAACCACATCAGTCCATCATTGCAATAAGATAAGGGTTATCAAGCCACATAAGTTAGGGGTGGGGGCACAGCCTGCCACAGAGTCTGGGACCTTTTGTCCCCACTGAAAATGGCCATCAGTGGCAAGCGTGGCTTGCTGCCACTGCCGGACTCAACACTGTTACTGGAACCCTTGTTGCTGTGCTTTCCACTGTGGCAGCCCTCACTCCCCAGGCTGGATCCATCCCTGAATGAACCCCATGGTCTAGATCCAATCCAGAGCTCTAGTGAGTTTCATATATCTGCAGTAAGAAATATGACTGCAAAAAGTAAACACATTTAGGTTTTTTGTCTGCATTTCTTTCACTTCCATTTTCCTGCTTTGCACATCTTCCATTCCACTTTCTGTTGGTGTTTTACTTTACTCTATTCCTTTTTCTTTTCTACTTGTCTCACTTCCCAGCTGCTCTTCTTTTCATTTAATTTACCTTTTGTTCTTTTAGCATTTCTTCACTAACTGTTTCTTCTTTCTCTCCTCAAGGGAGCCATGCTGCTGTCACTACACTTTCTTCAGCTGTGTCCTTTTCTCTCTCCAGCTACCCAAATCCAGCAACCTTTTCCTTCACCTCTAAATATCGGTGGGGTTTTGAGTTGTCTTGTTCTAACTTCAACACTCTGTACCAAAAGGTTAGTTATTTTAGAAAATATAAGTGGAAAGGAGAGTTTTCACTTTAATTACATAGCAAAAATGGGCTCTCGTCACTCACTAATTTAGACCCAAATTGTTATCTTGTGTGGAGTGAAAATCTTCTTGACTGTGCTTCGGTTCAGAGTCATTAGAAAAGCCCATATTTTGATGTATGCCACGGGAAGATGCATTATAGTTAGATAGGGAAGAGAACAATTTTTAATTAAAGCACTGAGTATAAGAAACAAAACAGAATCTAACTGGGGACATTTTAACTCAAGCTAGTGGTGCGCTAGAACTTATTTTTAAAAAAAAGTGATTCTCGTTCTGACCTCTTCTATGATGCACTTATTGACACAGTTAAGAACTGAAATTCAGATTTTGGCTAAAAGTATATTTTACTTGCTCCAAAAATAAACTGGGTAGTCTATGTATTTAACACTATTTGCTACAAAAGGCTATGGTATTTGACATTTTTGCCAAATAGTAAAAATGATGTTACTGTACTAAAGAAGAGATTTATTGGCTTATATGTACAACACAGAAAGAAAAATATTAGGTTTAGATCCTGACCAGTGTAGGAATAGCTTGGACAACCACCCATATGTAAGCAGAAAATTAAATTTGCAAATGCAGAAATATAGAGTCAAATCTTATTTTAGTAGGCACCTAAGTGCCCAAGTATGATCTTTTTCCACCCTGTTTGAATCCCTGAGGAAACATGAATGGGGTTTTCCCCGCCCCACGGTTTTTTGTGACTTAGCTTTCAGCCTAAGGTGATAACACGCAACAAAAATAGAGGGTGTTAATAGTTTTTCGGTAATTTGAAGAAAGTGAAATAGGATTGTACTTAGGCATCTAATAGGTAAAATGGTATCTGATGCGTACCGTTAACCAAGGAGAAAGGATTGCCTTATTATAGCTGGCATTTTGAGGTCTTCCTACTAAGTAAAAACATATTTGTCAAATTTTTACAATGGTTCATTGTCTTATGATGGGAGGTGCTGAGCACCACAACTCCTGCCAAACTCAGAGAAGGAAAACTGCCATATTTAGCATCTTTGTAAATCAAACCCTAATTAGACACTGACATGGAACAGATCAAATTTATTGGACGCCAAACTTATTTTACAGATCAAATTTTTTTTTTTTTACTTTCTCAAGTTAAATTCCTTGCTATTTTCCTGATTCTTTGAAATTACTTTCCTATTTTATCCTTTACAAAATAGCTTGGTTCTAAACATTTGGAAAACAAATGAAGAAATTATTAATAATAAATGAGCGGCACAGTCATATTATACTTCATAGGTTAAACAAAGTATCCTTTCTAAAATGGAAAAGAGGTTAAAAAAATCATAAAAAGAATATGGTGATTGAGAAAGTGGAATGGTAGCCACCATAGGAAGGTAACGGTAAGCAATAAGAGGGGACTGCAGCTCCTTGGAGCACAGTTTGTTTTGGACTTAAAGGTGATTTAAAATACTTTGTGTATTTCTCTCTCTCTTTTTATTAATATCTTGATTTTGGTGATTGTGGTTGAAAGGTTTATTTTAAGAAGACTGTTCAGTAGGAATTTGAATAGAGGCTGTTTTGTGACTCTTTCCTTTTAAATATAAGGGATAATTTCTTCCATGTCATTATAGAAGGTGTGAGTTAGAAAAGGTGGGTCTTAGAGCCGACAGAGATGTGGAAGGGACATTTAGAGTTTTGTAAGTGAGGAACAGGAGCTTGAAC